GATGGTGGTGGTGATTGTGGAGATGGTGGTAATGATGGCAGTGGTGGTGGTGATGGTAGTCCTGATGGTGGAAATGATGGTGGTGGTGGTGGTGGTGGTGGTGATGTTAGTCCTGATGGTAGGATGACAGTGACGCTGTTTCTGCTCCTGGTTCTTCTCAGTGAGGTCTGTGAGGAAACATCTCTTCTGCCTCCAATAAGTAACATGATTCTTTCCTCTTGACAGTTCCTAAGTCTTCTTCTTCATCTTCTTTGAGTAGATACTGCTCCTGCTTTTCCAGAATGTCTTTATTCACCGTCCAGGGATGAAACCTCAAACTCCTGTTGCTCAAAAATACAACAAATGTTTCCTCCTCCTTTTTCCTTTTCCATGATATGTTCTTCATCTTAGCACTCTCTCGAATCTGCCTTTGGTTCCCTCCATCCTTGGGGAACTCAGCAGGCCTTCCAACTGCCCCTTGAGTCAGGAGGCTGCCCTGCATTTGCAGCATGGACAATGACCACCTTTGGGGAGAAAGCATTTCTATGCAACATGCCCTGCAGATCCACAAACTGATGTGAATAACAAGATGAACCATGATCATAGCCTTGTCCCGGGAGACTGCCCATGTGCTCACTTGCTGCCCTGTACTCACTCTTCCTTGCCTTCTTCCGCCTCCTTATCTGCAGAATTATGGTGGAAATATTCAGCAGCCTCTCTCTGTGGACATGCTCCCATGAGGGGCTTCCATACTCAGCCTAGAAAATCTCACACCTGTCCGAGATCCCAAAGGCACACAGTAACACACAACACAAGCCAAGCGAAATAATAACAGATTCAGGAATCTCATTCTCAGTTCTCCTTTGGTATGTTTTCTAGATTAAACCTCCAAGCCAACAGCATCCCTCACTTTATATTTAGAGAGCATTTTACACACTATGATGTATGTCAGCTTCATTCCTGAATACTGATACATCTGCTTTCCACAAAGCTGGGTAAACTGAGCCTCAGGGAGGCTACATAACTGCTGTGTGTCACTCAGGAGGTTGGCAGCCCCTTCACTTCAGCTGGCTACTCGCTCTGGTGTCACACGTTGTCCTGCTGGTGTCTGGGCACCTCAGCAGCATCAGCCATGGGGCTGTGGTCCTGCATCCCAGCACCCCGGCCTTGCTGTCATTCTGGATGATGCTTTCAAGGAGTTATGAAACAGTGTGTGCACTCAGCCACCTTGAGATGGAAACCTGCTCAGAGCAGCAACTTGTTCTTGAGCGTTACCGAAGATACCGAAGGAAGGGCTGGGAACAGATCTGATTCAACTGAAAGGAAGGAAGGGCGAGGAAGGGAGCCTCCCCACTGGCTCACCATGTTGGGTGGACTCCAGTGAAGCCTCTGGGAACTGAGCCCTGCTGACTCGGGGTGTTCTGTGCTCATCCTCCTTGGTTGGATGCATCCTAGCATGCTGACTGTGCTGGTGCCGTGGCTGACAGCCCCTGCACTATACAGAGATGCAGCACAGGAGGCTAATGGGTTTTCATTGATTCTGCCGATGAGGCCAGTGAGAGTGTCACCTAACATGAAAGAACCTGGAGCCTAGCCTGGCTTGCTGAGACCCAGGGGACTGGGCCTGTGTGTGTGGGCACACGCAGTACGTGGCCTGACAAGGGCATCCGGGACAGTGATTTCAGTGTCTTACCAGCAGACACACTTGAGTGGAATGGACGTTCCACAAATTAGAATGACTGTTCCAAGGTACACCAGTGATCCTCAGTTTCCTCTAGCCCCAGATCTATGCTTTGGTGACAGAACATGACCTTTATGATGGCACGGCAGGTGTCCCCTACCTACCTAGACAGTGCTTCCCAGTCTTAGGAGCAGTGAATGAATCACCCGGGAAGCTTATTAAGGACACAGATTCCTAGGTTCTATTCCTACAAATCCAAAGTAGGTCCCGAAATCTGTATTTCTACCAGCTCTGCAGTGAAGCTGACTCCGTGGTCCACAGAACACACCCTAAGGGACACTAGCACAGCCCTTGCGGCGTTCTCTCATGTTCTCTCTTTTCTTAAGATATGTCTGCATTTTTTTTTCAGTGGAGTTTGTAAAACTGAGAGAGCCACTGGTGGAAAACACTTGATCAGCTCTGTTGGGATGCCCCCGGGAGCTTGGGCATGAGGGGAGATAAGAGCGGGGCCCCACTCATCCCAGGAGAGCCACCCAAGTGGCCATATGTGGCACAGGCCACCCCTATTTATAGTTGGGCAGCCTGTTTCCCCCGCATCTGTGCTTCAGGAAGCTTGTGAGTCTGGGCTGTATGCCAACTGGGTCATGCTTCAGGAGTCCTCCAGGGTGGGAACCTCCCCCACTTCCCTCCAGGCTGCAGAAGCAGTGAACGAAGCTGGGATGGGGAGCCCTGGGAGACGGCGACACGGACAGGGAGGCACCCAGTGTGGACGACTCACGGCTCGGTCCACGGATCTTGATGGGTTTACTGCTGGACATGGACTGGGAGCACGTCTGACACAAGCATTCCTTTCCACTGAAGGTCACCTTGTCTCCAATGGGGAAAGGCTTCCTGCAAGGGGGATGAAGGAGAAATTCAACACTTCCTCTGCAGGGGGATTGTGTGTGTATCAGTGACCTGACAACACACAGAACACATGTAGAGCGCCAGGTACATTCAAGTGCTGTTCACAGGGCCAGGCTGAATAAACCACTCAACAAGGGCCAGGACTGGAACTGGAGACCCAGTCGGGCCATTTACATGATTTTTAAACACGGGGAAAATCAGGACACTTATCTGAGCTTACATTTCTCTTCTGTACAAAGAAGAGGCTAAAAACTCCTCTCAGAGGTGCTGTGGCTTCCTGGAGGGACTTTTTTCCACCCCAACTTGACCTGCCCCCATATGTCAGGAAGAACTCATTCAACTCCCAAACTTGCTAAAAATTCCCTTTTACTCCCTAGGAAGTTCAGACGTCCACAAACAACCTCTTCCTCTGGTTGCCTGCACTTGCGCAGTTTGAGTTCCTCGGCGCAGGGGCTCAAGCTCGCACATGGTCCGCCTCCCTAACTAAATATAACCCATCTAGAAGCCCCAGCACAGCCCATCCCATGGTGCAGCTGCTCTTGCTTGTGCAGTCTGGGATGCCTGTTAATACTGGCCCTGAGCACACCCCCCACCCTCACAAAGCCTGCAGTGGCTCCACGCCTTTACGTCAGCAACATGGACAATGGAGGGAGTGCCGGGGAGAGAGGGAAGTGTGAACTCATTACAGCCCGGGCACTGACTCACAGTAAAAGGGCACAGCGTGACCTCGGGAAGGTGCCTCATCCTCATGTAGCTTCACAAAACCTTCACTTTATACCTCAAGGACCCCAATGTGCAAAATTCCAATGGGTTTGGGATTCCAGGACCTAAGGCCCAGGTATTAAGGGCTGGATGGATGAATGAATTCCACTGGGTGACTATATTGTCTTATGCACCGTGTTGTTGGTCTCAATCAGAAACTCTAATTGGTTAGTTACTCCTACTGGTGACTAACAGGTGGTTATTTTATGGGGAGAACAGTTAATCTATAAATTACTTTCCCATTTAAAAAATTGCACACGTGTACTCCAATAATGCTTTACTTACGACTAAATCAGAGCGATCCATTAAATTTTAACGTTATTGGTGGGCAGAGTGGAGGTTTTCTTAATTTTTTCATCTCCTTAATGTGGTGCTTGGCATACAGTGGGCCCTTAATGTATATTTGCTAAGTTAAGAAGTGACTGGAACGCTGGGGGTCGGGAGGAGGGAAGGGGTGAGCTTTCCATCACCTCTTGGATGTCTTGAGAGGCTAGATGATTATCATTACGATAATGAAAAGAATAATAAAAGCAGACACAGTTATGAACCAGTCACTGAGCTAAGGTCTGCGCACCATTTCATTTCTCTTCATGAAAACCCAGTGAAGCTTGGACTGGTTTTGAAGCCTATGTTACCGATGAAGCTGAGGCTTACAGAGATGGGATCACCTGCCAGGGTCACGGAGGAGGCTATAAACAGATATCCTGAGACCACATGTGGCTGTGGGCGGAGGAGCCCAAGCCAGATCTGTGGTTTCCAAACTGAGTTTTGAGAGGTCAGGAGACTCAGTGGTTCCTCTGGGGCCTTTTGATGGGAAGTGGAAGGCTAAGTGTGGGGGCTCAGATCCTCACTCTGGCTTCATTGCAGGACAAGCTGGTGTTTTCCATTAGATCACACTGGACAAACAGGATTCAGCTGCTAAAAGGTTTGACAGCCACTGGCCTGTCAGATCCTTCCACTCCTGAGATTATAGAAATCCAAGTGTCCAGCATAAAGCCATGCAAGTCCCAGATCGGCCTGGGAAAGGCCATTTCTTCCCGTGCCAGGGGCCCAGGCAGAGAGTCCAGCCCCCACCGGTCATCCGCTCACCTGCACAAGCTGCACACAAAGCACTTGGGGTGGTAGGTGCGCCCCAGTGCAGAGATGACCTCGCCCGTGATGAAGTCCCGGCAGCTGTCACAGCGGGTGCCATAAAGCTGCTGGTAATCCTGCGTGCAGATGTATTCCTGGTTCTTGAAGAAGAAGCCCGACTGGGCCAGGCCACAGCCACACACTTGGGGAAACAAGGACAGAAACAAAGGAGGATGAGTCCAGGGAGGGTGTACAAGCACGAGGCTCTCGATGGGGATGAGACTGGGGTCTGACTTGCTCATCAGTGGCCAGAGAAGGGTGACTTGCTGGACCTCAAGGGCCTTTGGGGCCAAGGTTCTTTAAAGGATGGCTGAAGACCACTTGCATCACAGTCACCTGGTGGACTTCTTAAGATGCAGCTGCCTGAGCCTTGATCAGACTCCCTGAGGTTGAGGCCCAGGCATCTGCATTTTAACATACTCCCCAGCCAATCCTGACACAGACTGAGACCACCAATGTTGTACAATCCTCTCAAAACATGAATGAAAAGTTTAAGGCTATGTAGCTCATGCAGTGCAACATAGATGGTGGTATCATGAGTTTGAAAAAAAGAATCATTCAGTTAAAAATTTCCTGGGCACTTCCTGTGTGCATGACCCTAAGCTAGGTGAAGACAGTTTAGGATGGCAATGGGATATATGGTTTGAAGATTATAATGTGTCTTCACCACAGTCATAGAAGGTGGAATGATAAAACACAATCACTGAATTGCAAAGATGTAACAGTATATGCAGAGGGAAGACCTTATAGAACATACATCATTGGGGATAGGCCATGGGTAACAAGTGCTGTGAGTGTGAGGAATCACTGAAGGCTTTCTGGAGGAGGCGGCAACTGAGTTGAACTTTGAAGGAATGGACTGAGCTAACATACAAAGGTAGGAAGTTGCAAGGGATATTTGTGTGGAGATGGGGCTGGGGTACGGACGGTGTTTTTAGGGAGTGGAAGGAAATAATACAGGAAAATATTGCCAGGCCAGTTGGAGAACGAGGAGCCAAGTTCAGTTCAAGATGTTTAGGCTTTGTGGGAAACTGAGAGGCCGCGAACAGTTTTGCCCCTAGCTGTAAAGAACTTGAAAAATGCTCAGACATATACAAAAGTAGACAGAAGATTATAATGATTCCCCATCACCCAGCTGCAGAAATGATCAATTGTACTGACAACTTTTGAACAGAGAGGCAACAATGATTAAAAATTTTTTTACATAGTATTTTTTGGGAGAGGGGAGGAGGGAATTAGGTTTATTTGTTTCAAGAGGAGGTACTGGGGATTGAACCCAGGACCTGGTGCATGCTAAGCATGTGCTCTACCACTTGAGCTATATCCTCCCCCCAAAGAGAGGCAACATGATTTTATAAGGTCTTTAGGGATATTCTTGTGGGCAATAAGAAGAAACGTAGGGCAGATGATAGAAGAGCAGGTGGATATAATTATAGGTGTCTGAACAACAAATAATTATAGATGTCCCTCCCCCAAAGGACTTAGAAATGTGGGAAATGAGATTTCCCTCTGAGACTGAAATTATGAAATCAACACACAAAATGGGCAGAGCAGAAAGAGGCTAAATTTCTTCTAAGAGATCAAATGGCTCCCAGGGGCACCAGAACTGCTGAGTGTATTGATCCAGCCAAGGCACTGATGGGTCAGCCAGGAAGGGGCTGGTCAGCAATTAAGGGAAGGCCACTGGAGAGCTTGTTCAAATCCCATGATCAGCTCCCCTTGTTCTAAGTCTGCACGCACCAAGTGACTGTCTGATCGTTTGACTTTGTACATAGAGTGCCTTTGGGAGAGAAGCAGCTGATCAGGGCAACATGAACTAGTATAACGGAGAGTTACACCTCTTGTTTATGTTATAAACAGGCACTCTGGTTTTATACATTGGTTTCCTGAAGATGCAGTTAGCATATTCAGCTTTATCAAGTGTGATCCATGGGGTGGGGTGGAGGGAACCACCAAGATAGTTTCCAAGCCTGTAATTGCAAGGACCTGGCCTGGACTGGGTGACATCACCCCAGTAAACACTAGCTCATCTTTAACAGGGAAAGTTGTTTTGCAAAAGTAGCCAGGTTAACAGTAGGAGGGACTTTCAAGTGAATGTCAGAAGTTATTTCACAAGTGTTCGTTCACTGTGCAGGCCACAGGCAGGCTTAAAGGGCCAAGGTGAGGGAGGAGGGTAGCTCCAAATGTCGCAGCACCAGGGGACCAGGGGACAGTGCAGGACAGTGCGAGGTGCAGTGCTCTGGGAGTCAGAGCACCTGGGCTCTGGTCTTGTCACTGCCACTAACTCTCTGGGCGACAATGAACTTGGACCTCTGTCGTCTGGGGCCTCTGCTTACCTCTATGGAAAACAGCAGAAGCTGGACAAGGAATGACCTGAGCTTTTCTTCTGACACTGACACCCTGTGAGTCTGGAAGGAGAGCTTCAGGGCTGACTATGCGCCTAAACACTTTAAACTCTCTGTGAGGTAGAGCTGGTAGCCCCTGGAGACCACCCTTGCTGGGAGGCAGGGCGTAGGAGTGGAGGTGGTGGTGGTTGGTGGGGAAGGGTTCATCTTCCACCAGCCTTCATGAAAATTCATCACGTCAGACAATGCCTGGTCTGGAGAGCAGACAAGGCCAGAGAACAGGCTGTTCTGGGGTGTGCAGGTGGCAGATCAATTGACTTCATGGCTGTGGAATTAGTTAGGCCATGGCCTACAACCTCATTGGAAACAGCTCCTGTTTTCCCCCTTCTTTTCTCTCCTCTGTGTCCCCTGCCAACTCCACTCCCAGAGCCACCTTTCCCAGTGGAGAAAACCTGGAGGCCACTGGAAAACTTGGAACAATCAGTTCCTTCATTTCCCCCAAGGAGCTGAAGGAGGAAGTTTTTGGTAGAAAGGATGTAAAGGTTGATAAGAATCTCAGGGGCAGCTGGAAATACAGTGGGGAACACGGGGTGGAAGGCCAACTGGACCAGCACAGCAGATGTATCTGAGGCTGAGCAAAGCCCCACATTCAAATAACAGGAAAGGCCATGGAGAGGGTCTGCAGCATGGAACTGGTGTGGAATTAATATACCCTAGGCAGTCGTCATTCTGTGAATCAAAAAAATGAAGTCTATTAATTTAAAAAAAGATCATATGATTTAACAATGGAAGAGAGTATGAGAAGTCAGAACTGCTTTGAGAAAGTCCAGAATGAATGCTCACTGTACCACTAATGCCTAGAAAGAGGCCTTGCACACAGCCCGGCCACGTTTCTGGGGAAAATGTACTGTTTCACTGGTCACTGGACACTCATCCACATTCCTATTCTATCACTCCGGTGCTGTGTGACTTTGAAAAAGTGACCTCACCCCGCTGAGCTTAGTTGCCTCATCCGCAAAATGAGTGGGCTACGTGGTAACTGAGGACATACCCAGATCTAAGAGTCTAGGATTCTGTCATAGAATTCTGTTGATCTTAACTTTTCAAATGAGACAGTCTTACGGAATTCCAAAACCAAAGTGTTAGAAGGGCCCCTGAGGGCGTGCTCACTCATTATTTTAAACATTTAAATTGTGAAATATATTATGCACACAGAAAAGGTGGCAAATATGTATATGTACAGGGTAAAGAATGATAATAAAATACGCTCCCAGGTCCCCACTGCCACGTTTAGGAAACAGAACATTATCAGCACCTTGGAAGCCTGTTCCTGTCTTCCTAAGGGCACCCGCCTCCCACACTGTCCTGAACTGTGAGTTGATCATTCTCTTGCTTTTCTTTACAGCTTTACCACCTATGAGGTATCCACAAACAATATATTGTTTAGTTTTCCCTGTTTTTGAACTTTACATTGATGGAATCGTACTGCATTTGCCCTTCTGTGTAGATTTACTGCTTCATTCTCTAGTATTATGTTTCTGAGATTCATCCACATCGAAGCACGTGATCACACGTCACTCATTGTCACTGCTGTGCTAGATTCTGCCGTCTGATTACATCACAGTCGATCTAGTCTACTGCTGCAGGACATCTGAGCTGCCTGTGCTTTTTTTCCTCCTTTATGGAAATTTTGCTTTGAACATTCTTGTATTTGTGAGGTGATGCCTCACTATTTTCCAAAAATTTTTTCCCATTTATATTCCCACCAGCAGTTCTCACTGATCTATATTATCACAACGCTGGGTAACACCTGACTTCTTATTTTTAGTCAACACAGTGGAGGTGAAGTGATATCTTATTGTGGTTTTCAATTTCACTTCCCTGATTATTAATGAAAACTGAGAATCTTATTATATTCTTGTGCACCATCTGAGTTTTCTTTTCTATTGCTGAACAATATTCCACTGTATGGATTATACCACATTGTGCTTATCTATTCATTGGCTGATGGATATTTGAACTGTTCCGTATTTTTGGCTTTATGAATAATATTGCTAGGAACATTCATGTACAAGTTTTTGTATGGACATGTTTTCATTTCTCTTGAGCATGTATCTAGAAGTGGAATTTAGAATTCTTGGGGTTATGTGGTAACTCTACCTTTACACCTAGAGGAACTGCAAGACTCTTTTCCAAAGCAGCTACACATTTTACATTCCCACCAGTAATATCTGATGTTCCAATTCCTCCACAATCTCACCAACACTTGTATTATCTGTCTTTTTCTGACTACAGCCATCTGAGTGGGCATGACATGTATCTCA